CTCTCTCTCCCTCTCTCTCCCTCTCTCTCCCTCTCTCTCCCTCTTTCCGTCTTTCCCTCTCCCTCTCTCCTTCTCTTCCTTGCCCTCCATCTCTCCCTCTCTCTCTTTCCCTCCCTCCCTCTCTCTCTCCCTCTCTCTCCCTCTTTCCCTCTTTGTCTCTCCCTCTCTCTCCTCTCTCCCTCCCCCTCCATCTCTCCCTCTCTCTCTCTCCCTCCCTCCCTTTCTCTCCTCTCTCTCCCTCTCTCTCTCTCCCTCTTTCCCTCTCCCTCTTTCCCTCTTTCTCTCTCCCTCTCTTCCTCACCCTCCATCTCTCCCTCTCTCTCTTTCCCTCCCTCCCTCTCTCTCCCTCTCTCTGCCTCTCTCTCTCTCCCTCTTTCCCTCTTTCTCTCTCTCTCTCTCCCTCTCTCTCTTCTCTCCCTCCCCCTCCATCTCTCCCTCTCTCTCTTTCCCTCCCTCCCTCTCTCTCTCTCCCTCTTTCCCTCTTTCTCTCTCCCTCTCTCTCCTCTCTCCCTCCCCCTCCATCTCTCCCTCTCTCTCTTTCCCTCCCTCCCTCTCTCTCTCTCTCCCTCTTTCCCTCTTTGTCTCTCCTTCTCTCTCTCTCTCTCTCTCTTTCGTCCCTGCTGTTCCCACCTTTCTTATTCTTGTCTCACTGCCTCATAGAATTTGGACAAGATATAGCTAGATACAAAATAAATGAAAAAACACCAAGCTGAAAATTTCTTTTTGGAGGATTTTTGAAATGAGGTTGAGACAATTGTGTTTTTAGACTGTATCTGTGATTTTTAATGTTTTATATTCAGAGTTTGTATAATTTACATCCTTAATAACATGCTCATTTATTTAACTTTTTGTATTTAGGTTGTGGAAATAAAACTACAAGTAGAATTAGAAGAAAAAAGGAAAAAAGCCTTAAATTTACAGAGAGTTTCCAGGCGAGGTATGATGCTTTTTGAAAAAGAACCCTTAACATTTTTCAGATTGTACAAAGGGTATATCTTCGTTACAAACAAAAAAATTCCTGAAAATACTTTCAGAAGAAAAATAGCACTGTCGTAATGTTTAAAGAAGAAAACAAGCATCCTCTTCGTTGTGGGTTTTTGCTCCTGTGTTTTCCATGTGATGGCCGTAGGCGTCATTATCCTGCATCGGCAACTGTTGAGCTGCGTCTGGTGGATTCTGAGACGGGCGTGTTGGTAGTCTGGCTGCCTGAGTGTGTTTTCTTCACGATGATTCGTGGTGACAGAGTGTGAGGAGGACTTCGGATGGGGCCTGCAGGGTCCTACGAGGCGCTCAGTTGGGTCGAGTCGGAACATCCGTAGCACTAGTCCAGATGTCATCTCTTAGATATTAATTCTTAGCGTGTTGGGTTTTAAATGAGATTAAGCTAATTGTAAAACGGTGAGGACAGATTGGTGAGTGGGGATGTAGATGCCTCTGTAAATGAAGGGAGACTCCAAAGATGACAGACAGTGAGCCTAAAGCCTGCTCGTCGCTCATGCCTGAGACCCACGACGCTGTAGTTTGTTTTCAGATGTGTTTGTTTGCCTTTCGGGCTCTGAGGGGATGTGTCTGTCTCCCTTCCCTTTCTCGTCTGTGTCCAGTGGTGCCCAGTGTTGCCACAGTGTTCTCATTCTTTCTCAGATCCATGCTTTCGGTTCTGGAGGCGGAGTCTTTTTGTTTTTCTCTCGTCTCCCATATTGTAGTTTTTAGAACAGCATTCCTGGAGTTTTATAAAGTACTGTGTATTTAAAAAGTGTTGGAAGTCACTGTAGGCAGTATGTTTGGTTCTCTGAAAATTGCGAGAACTGGGAAAGGAGGCAAACGACATTGTCTTCTGAGCATTGAGCTGAAGTTACATCAGCCAAGTAGAGCCAAGATTGGTGAAGTTATGCTGCAGGGAAAGGGGCAGACTTACACAGCCTGGAGTAGGAGGAACCGCCTGGGGGCTCACGCCATCTGAGGGTGTGCTTGGTCGGGGGCATGCTGGTGTCACCGTGCGGGCACAGGCTGAGGGCTCTGGTCAGGCCAGGGGGAGTCAGGTCTGTGTAACAGGCAGGCCCCTCTCAGTGCACGGGCCTCTGTGAGTGGGCCGGCCCCTCTCAGTGCACGGGCCTCTGTGAGCGGGCAGGCCCCTCTCAGTGCACGGGCCTCTGTGAGCGGGCGGGCCTCTGTGAGCGGGCAGGCCCCTCTCGGGGAACAGGCAGGCCCCTGTGGGTGGGCAGGCCCCTCTCGGGGAACAGGCAGGCCCCTGTGAGCGGGCAGGCTCCTCTCGGTGCATAGGCCCCTGTGAGCGGGCAGGCCCCTCTCTGTGCACGGGCCCCGGTGAGCGGGCAGGCCGCTCTCGGTGCATGGGCCTCTGTGGCAGAGCTAGTGGTTCCGACTGGAAGAGCCCCATGTGCGAGTCTCCGCTCAACAGGCCTCTCCTGACCCTCGGTGTCTGTGGAGCCCGGGGAGAACTCTGCCCAGCAGCCACTTGTGGACATCGGTCTGCCTGTGGTTGATGTCCTTGCTGTAAATAAGTACACTGCCATTCTAGGTTGGTAGTTCAGTTCTTGTGAGGTTTGCTAGAATGGATCCTCACCCTTGCGTCCATTAGCCCCGGATGCTGTCACACGAGGTTTGAGCCTGTCTACGGCAGTGTCAGGACAGTGAGGTGGACCATTGGGCGCTGCCTCCTGCGAGGTCTCTGGCCGCGTGGCTGGGCGCTGCCCCTTGCAGCTGTCTCCCTTTCTTAGGCATGTCTGCCTCCCTTGGGGTCCCTGGGCATTGCCTGACTGCCCCTTGGGGTCTCTGGGCGTTGCCTGGCTGGCTCTGTCCCTTCAGCACCTCGGTGGGTCCAGGCGCTGCAAAGACTCGCTGTCTCTTGGTCCTCAGAACAACCCGGAGGGGTGGGCCTCGTGATGCCCCCATTATTGATGAGAAAACTGGGGCTGAGGCGTCACTGCAGAAAGTGGTAGAGCTGCTGTGTAAGAGAATAAACGTCACAAATGGTCAGCCTGTGCCAGAGTCCACTCATCTGCACTCCGGCGTGAGACATCTGGGTCCCTGCAGGCGGGTCAGAGCGGGAAGTTAGGGGTTGCCGCCACACTGCGTGTGGACTCACAGGTCGGGCCTGCTGCCTCGTGGCTCCTGGGTCACTGGGAGGAAGGGCAGAATGGCCCCAGTGTCTCTGCTCGGTGTCAGGGGTACCTGTAGGGCAGGGCTAGACAGAAGAGAAGCTCTTCATGTTGTGGGGACAGCATCCTCTGCCTCCCAGCTCTAGGGGACTCTAACCATGTTCCTGTCTCCTTAGGAAAAGAGCCCAGGCACCTGGGACTTGATGCTTTCACAGAGCACCTCCTGGTAAGTTCGGACTGCTGCTGCCCTCAGAAAAGATGGCCGCCAGGTGGTTAGCACGGTGCTCTGTCACGGTGGGGCTGCCCGTTTCATCCGGAGAAACACAGAGGCTGGGACTGTCACTCCACATCTTCGGAAGACCAGCCCATTTTGCAAACAGTAGCTGGTACACTGTAGCTGTAGGCTCCTTTGGAAACTTGGGGGGACACAGCTGAACAAGTGAGTGTGGACGTGAACTCCCTTCCCTTTTTGTGAATAACAGCAACCCCCCTGTGAGGACGGTGCAGCGTGGCAGGCTGGTCCTGGACACCTGCTGTCCTTGTCAGCGTGTCCTAGACAGATAGGTCCCCTGGGTTTGTGAGGTACATCATGTGTGAAACAGGGGCGTGGAATTTCCTCACACGTCCTGTAATTGAGGAAACTGTGTACAGACTGTCCCATTCAAGCACACAAAGTCAGAATAGCTCTGCAGGCTGTCACAGTACATCTGGGGTAACAAGGATGGGGCAGCTAGGTGGATTCCCCGTTGTATGTTTGAAGAGCTCGTGTTTCTGATGTTTTTATTCTTTGTTTCAGGATTCAGGCATATCTGGAAGGAAGAGAAGAGCCAGCACATCTTTAACTGATGATGAAGGTCTGTGCCCCCCGCCCCCCAGGTGCTGCCTCTCCTGTCTGCAGGCTCTGTCAACTCCCGGCAGCACCTACACACAGGTGTCGAGGAGGCAGAGGGTGGCTTTGGCCCAGGTGGGAAATGCCCTGGTCTTTCTCCCTGGTCTCTCAGGGCACAGAGTGTTTCTTTGTGTCTCCAGGGGACCTGGGGTGTTTTCTGAGCTGCCTGGTGGGATCTATGGGCGGGAGGGCTGAAATGCAGATGCATCCCCCAAGATGTGTTAGGGTCACCATGCAGGGGGCTGCAGAGCTAGGCAGATGCTGTTTGTGAGGGAAGTGGCTGGGGGTGTCGGGCCAGCCAGCTTCATGGGCAGGGGGCAGGCCAGGTGGTCTAGTGTGGGGAGCTTCAGGAGAAGCCCTTAGACATTTCGATGTTGGTACCTTCCTCAGATGAAAGCAGACGTGCCCCCAATGCGTGTGTGCATGTGTGTGTGCGTGCGTGCGTGCGTGCACGGGCGTGTGCGTGCGTGTGTGTGTGTATACACACACAGCCCCCTGGGCCATCAGCCTGCACTGTCTTCGACCCACGGGTCACGGTGCTGGGCAGATTCTGACCCGTGAGCTGGGGAGGAGGCAGGAACGAGAGGGCTCTTCTGGTTGTCAGTGTGCAGCTGTGGGGACGCCGTCCAGGTGCCCGCTCAGGCCGCTGTTCCCACCAACCCTTTGTCAGCAGCGTGTGGTTTATTGGTTGATTAGGCAACGTGTGTTAGGTTTCCCCGTTGTGAAAGATGGCCATTTTGGTATTTATTTTGTCTTTACTGGGAAGCGTAGCCATTGTTGGCATAGTGGACTATGCCTGTGAGGATTAGGTTTTGCACGCGGCAGGAAAGACCAGGACAGCCATGGCCAACATGAGCTAGAGGCCTGGAGGGCGTCTCATCCTCCTCGCTCCTTTCACAGGTGTCCTCTCACGCTTTGCGGGCGCAGGTGGCTCCGGGTGTTCCCGGCACTGTCCTCGCGAGTTAGAGGAAGAGGGCGCTTTGGAGAGCCAAGAGGCCCCTCCCAGCCCGGTTGCCCTGAGCAGCTGCCTCCCAGGAAGGTTGTAGCCAGCAGTCCTCTGACGGCTGCCACCCAGCGCTGTGTTAGGTCACCGCCGCTGCTGGTGGGAGGCTGGTAGGCCTTTCCTGCAGGTGGCCGTGGGCCAGGCAGGGGAGGCCACCACGGAGGAGCGCACAGCAGTGGGTGCTTTGTGACCCAGGGTGGGCGGCCTGAGGTGAAGATATGAGGCGTTGGCACTGGTGATGGGTGGTGGTCGGTATGGGTATCGTTCGGCTTTAAGGGCAGAGCCACAGGCTTGTGTGGTGCTGATGGGAAGGAGCCACCCAGAGGGACCCTGGCTGAGTTTTGGGGGGTGCAGCTCACTGGAGGCCCTGGGGGATGGGGGGTTGTGCTCTCATGGAGAGATGGCTCCCCCATGGGAGTCCTGCTGCCAGAGGCTGGCGGATTCTTTACTGAGGGCAAGGGGCAAGCACTGAAGATGCTGGGGAGGGGAGTGGGTGTGACGAGGGGCCGTGGAGGACAGGAGGGTCTGAGACAGGCAGGTGGTGGCCGGGCGCCTTTGGAAGAGGTAGTGGCCATTCAGGGGACCCCCGTGGCTTGCTGGCTGAGAGTTCGTCCAGGGCTCCCAGGCCTGCTGTGCACGGAAACACCAGGGCAGGGAAGAGAGCATGCTCCCCGGGTCCTGCTCGCTGACAAGCTCTTTGCCAAATGTCACCTGAGAAAGACAAAGTTTAATATGCATTTCTGTAATTACTGTAGCTTATGTAAAGCAATCTTGAGGCATAATAGTGTTTAATGAGTAACTGGGAAGGAGGCCATGTGCAGTCTTACTGACATTTGATGACCGTTTGTTTTAGTGGAAGATGAAGAAGAGACGATTGAAGAGGAAGAGGCAAACGAAGGGCTGGTGGACCACCAGACAGAGCTGTCCAATTTAGCCAGAGAAGGTAGGCTGTCGTTACCATATGAGAATCGCTGTCATTAAATGTTGAATACCTACAAAGGAGCATTGACAAAATGTGGGTCGGATACAAGAAGTAGTGCTGGATCACACTCTTGGTGTGCAGGAAAGTGTGGACACCCGTGGAGGCGTCTCTCTGCACACAGGTATAAGGGAAGGTGCTGACGTCCCTGTACGTAGGCAGAAAGGGCGGCTCACGCCCACCCTCAGAGAATAGTGCCAGATTTTGTTCAGAGTACGTGAGCCGGGCTGCAGGTCTCCCTGCCCTGAGGACACGGCCCCTGCTTGCCGATAGCTGAGGATGGAGCCCCTTTGCTTGAGCTGCTGCCTCGCACCTGGCCTGCCCCGGTGTCGGGGTTCTCTGCCCCTCGTTGTTTGCGGGGTTCTCTCTGTGTTGGACACAGCTTCCCTCCGTGTCAGCGAGAGGTGCTGCGGGAGCCTGTTTCCAGGCTGTGGCTTTTGCCTTTTCATCTGTCGGTGGCACCTTTTGGTTTAGTGATGTTGAAGTTACCAGTCTTGTTTAAAAAACTCTTTTTTACTTTAAGATCATAAGGACGCTCCTGTGTCGTTGTGTAGATGTGTTTTGTTTTTACGCTTCGATGTCTGTAATCCATTGGCAGTGGCTCTGCCCTGTGGTGTGCAGACCCCTTCCTCACCCCAGTGTACTTACTGACTGTCCTGGCACTGTGTAGAAAAGCCTGTCTTTCCCTCACTGACAGTCCCTGCCGACGGCAGCCATGAACCAGGTGTCTTTGTAGGCCCGGCTGTGTCTGGGACCTTTATTGTTTTATTGCTCGGTCTGTCTGATTTGTGCCTACGCTGCTCTGTCGGAATGACTGCAACTTTCTGGATGTCCGGTTTGCCAAGTCCTGCTGCCTCGTTCTTTAGGAGGCTCTCGATGGTTTGGGGCCTTGGTGGTGTCGGTGTTGAATGAGAGGTGGTGGCGGCAGCTCCACCTCGTTGATCTTAAAGGGAAGATTTCCCTGCAGTGGCAGTCTACTGTGGCAGCTGAGGCAGTTGCTTGGTTCAGATCTCTCGTCTGCTACCCCCAGCTCTGTGACGTAGTCACGTCCTCTGACCGCTCGTTGACGTTTCCTGGGTTGTGACGCAGGGATAAGAGTTGTTTTCTCCTGCTGTGGTCCTGAGGACTTGCTGAAAACGCGCAATGCCTGCAAAACCTGGCGGGACACACTGCTGTGGTCCCGCCCCTCGTGGTTTCCAGCGTCTCCTCACCAGCCGGGGTGCTTGTTCAGGTTGTTTGTGGACCCTTCATCTGCTCAGCGTCGTCTTGTTTTGACTTTGACCCACTTATTTCAGTTTTATTTTTTATAGGTGAAAGTTTATAGAGTAAATCAGTTTCTCATTCATAAATATATACACAAATTATTTTGTGACATTGGTTGCAATCCCCACAATGTGTCAGCACTCTCTCCGTTTCCACCCTGGGCTCCCCGTTTTCATTCATCCACTTTTGTCCCTTCCTGCCTTCTCGTCTCCACTTTTGGGCAGGCGTTGCCCATTTGGTCTTGTATACTTGACTGATCTAAGAAGCACGTTCCTCACGTGTATTAATTGCTTAGTGACTGGTGGATTCAAACCACTGACCTTTGGTTAGCAGCCAAACTCTTAACCACTGCGCCACCAAGGCTCCGTGTTTGTTTTATAGGCCTGTCTAATCTTTGGTGAAAGGTGGACTTTGGCAGTGGCTTCAGTTCTGAGTTAGCAGGGTGTCCAGGGGCCATGGTCTTGGAGGTTCCTCCAGCCTCTGTTACACTAGTAAGTCTGGTCTTTTTTGTGAGTTTGAATTTTGTTCTACATTTTTCTTCTGCTCTGTCCATGATCCGGTCAGAGCGGTCGTGGTGGTACTGCTCAGTGTCTTACAAGGCTGGAGTCCACGTGTCGCTGGGCTGCTCCCCCTTTGGAGACTTGGGAGGGCTGCTCCCCCTTTGGAGGCTTAGCGGGGCTGCTTCCCCTTTGGAGGCTCGGGTGGCTCTGCTCTGAGCACATCAGGTTGTTGCTGACCTTTGCTCCTTACAGAGCGGGACCGAGGCCTCCTTCCCCTCCATGGTGCTCAGCAGTGCTGCCCTCAGCTCGCAGAGGTCCCCGTAGTCCTTGCCCGAGTCTCGCTCACTCCTTTAATTCCCTGGGGACAGAGAGCCCGTTTTAGGGGCTCCCTGATTCTGTCAGGCTCACCGAGCGAGGAGAAAGCTCCTGCCTTAAGTCACCTGATCGGAGACCTGACTGCAGCTGCAGATCCCTTTGCTGTATAAAGGACACGGTCACGGGAGTGATACATCCGTCGTCATATTCAACAGACGAGGTCTAACTCAACGGGAGAGGGTGACATGGGAGGTCACAAGGGGCCAGAGTCCCACCTAACGCATTCTTCTTTTGTTCTGTTAATTTTCATGTGTTAAAGTATCGCTCTCGCTTTTCCAATATTTCCAGTCTATTTAATTACCTACCAAGTTGCTGTGAGTCGGAATCAACTCGACAGCAACGGGTTGTGGTTTATTTACCTACTCGTGACCACCTGCTCTTTAGAGTCTCCTTTTTGGAGTTCAGCCGTGCCCTGTTCACGTGTCTTCCTGAGTGCATTAGGTGGTTTCATTGAGGGAGCGTGGGATCTGTGTAGCAATAACCCAGCACTTGGTGCCTGAAACCACACTCAATCCGCTCCTGTCTCTGGTTCAGGAATTTGGAGCAGCCCAGCTGGACGCGTGACTTGGCAGGCGGGAGGCGACTCCAAGGTGGCACACTCACTCGCTGTTGGGTCCTCTGCTCCTCACCACGTGGGCTTCCCGTGTCCTTGTAACATGGTGGCTAGTTTCTCCGAGAGAGCAGGGCAAATGCTGCAGTGCTTTCTGTGAGCAGCCTTGGGGCCCACGGTCAGCCCTGCACAGTGGGGCGGGGGGCCACCCTGGAGGCTGGCCGCCACAGCATCCTCATGACACAGTGTCTCCTCACCCGTGGCCTGGTCTGTCCCTTGTCCATGCCCTCCATGTGTCCCCAGGAGCCTCCTCAGGGCTTCGTCCTGTAGATGTCAGCAGGTCTTAGGAGCTTAATTTCAGTCAGTGCTTTTCCATCTAAGTGAGGTCTTTTCTTCTACTCTATCTTCTGCTTGGTTGTTGTTTGTGTATGTGAAGGCTGTCGACTTCTGTTTATTAGGTGTATTCTAAGGCTCCTCGCCACATTATCTTATTGGAATAGTTTTCCAGTAGCTTCTCCTGTTTTGTTTTTCCCTAGTTATATAGCATTATATACATTTATTCACACACACAGGAGAGTTGAAAGATCTTAAAGTAGCACTCGTATACCCACTGTATAGATTCCACAATGAGCAGCTTACTTTACTGGCTCCATCACTTATCTGTCCATCTTTCCACCCATCAGTACAGTGTGGTGAATGTTTTAACTAATAGACAAATGAATTCAAGGGGTTTTATGAGTCTCGAATGGACAGTGCCTTTAATATTGCTCTTTTAGGGTATTTTCAGTTTGAGTCTTTACAGACTTTTTGAAATTTAATGTACGTATGGAAAAGTTCACGTATCATAAGTGTACACCTCAGAGTGACTTTTCCCCCTTGCTATATATAACAGGAAACATCTTTGAACATGAATCTGGGTCCACGTTTCTGATTAATTTCCTGGATAGACTCATTAAGGGGGGAAACAGTGAGGTCAGAGAATATTAACTTTCAGAGCACCTCATCTTTCCATGTTGGTTTCCAGAACAATTAAGGCAGTTCATACCATTTCCAGCAGTGCATGAGAGGATCGGAGTCAGTATCCTTCCAACGTTGCTGTTTTTAAGATGGTTGTTAACTTAATACAGGACAGCTGTGCACCGTCTGACTTCCAGAGGTTCTCAGCCTGAAAGAAGCCTGTGTGACGGACGCGCTGTCTGTGATGGTGATGCGCTCCAGAGCCTGTGCCTTTTGTGACTGGGGCTTTAGTGTGTGGTTCTGTCAGTTGGGGTGAGCTCTTTATACAGAAAATACAACAGTAACTTACCGTAATCTTTGAAGACTTTCTCCGTCTCTTGTCGGTTGAGCCTTACGGGGCGTGTCTTGTATTTTTCTGTATCGTCTCCGTCCGTCAGTTTCCGTCAGTGGCGTTCATTTTTGTGTTTTTGTTTATCGGCCTGTAGGCGTTACTACACATGTATTCGATAATTTCAGAAGTATTTCTCTGCTCTTTGGTGAACAAAAATTGAGTTTCCTTGTTTCATTTCAGAGATTTTCATCTTACTTTATAAAGAGTATATTTTAGACTTTGTATCATTAATGGATAACCATTTTAGTTTTTAGAGAAAATAAATGTGCTTTTAGGAAACACATTTTTCCCAGGGAATTCCATGTGTGAAAAGGCACCTTTGTCCTCTTCCCTGTGGCTTTCCTGGCTGTGTTCTGTCCCGATGAAATGACTGGAGGTCGTCGTAAAATACTGACCTCTGTTCCTGTGATCCTTTCCAGCTGAGTTGCCCTTACTTGATCTGATGAAGTTGTACGAAGGTGCCTTCTTGCCGAATTTTCAGTGGCCGCAACCCAGACCTGACAGTGAAGAGACAAGCGAAGAAGAAGGTATGTTTCTAGATCGTTGAAGACTTCAGCTTTTCAAAAAAGGCCAAAGTGCTTTCTGTGGAAGGAGGCTTAGAATAAGACTTTTAAAATTACCTTCGTTTTCGTTTGATGAAAGAAAAAACTGTGGATGTATTTAATACATAATTTTATACTGAATAAATAGTTTTATTAAATTCTGTGGCTTTTTATTTAATAAACTTGGTATAATTTTCAGAGCACCTAATCAAATTGTGAAGAATGTAGAAATCTTTTTCTCCAGATTTGTAAGAGTCATTGTTTTATGGACCTAGATTTATATTACATTTATTCATACTGGGCTGTTTGTGTAGCATGCCACTTTTGAGAAGATTCTGTTATATTTCTTAACTGTTCCAAACAGACACACAGAATATACCCAGAATGCCTCGTGAAAAGCAAACCAACATCTACTTTTTCCTTGTTCTCATTCAGTTCTGATTATTAGAAATACATGCATACGGGGTGGGGTAGGGCAGGTGAGTGAGGGTCCCGAGTGGTTCTCAGTGCAGCGGGGAGCCTTCCAGACCCCCTCCTGGTGGCAGGACCTGCAGGGGAGAGGCAGTCCTCCTGGGTGTCTTCCAGTCCTGCAGAGACAGCTGTGAGCGTTCGTTCCTTGGTGGTGGGGAGATCACCAAGCCCTCAGGTACCCGTAAATCTTCTCCTGGTGTTAGTTCCTGCGTGCCATGGGACATCTTTCAACCCCCCGGTTGTTTGGGGGGCAGATTAGACTTGAGGGCTTTCCAGAACAGTGCTGTATTTGAGGGTTTCAGGAGCTCCTGTGCATTTGTCCAGATAGCATTGGTAGGTGTACGCGGATTAAGAACACACAAAGAAAGAATGCTTGAATCTGTATGGGAAGTATTTGGATGCAGTAAAGTTTTTTTCTGTTTTCTGTTTGACGGTAAGTTGCCCCAGCAGCCCCCGATTCTGTTTGCTGTGTTGTTTTTTGCAGATGTGGAAGACAACCCAAGAGACAGGGCGAGTCGGAAGGATCTGGTGCTCATAGATTCTCTGTTCATCATGGACCAGTTTAAGGCTGCAGAGAGGACGAACATCGGGAAGCCAAACACAAAAGACATCGCAGAAGTGACCGCCGTGGCCGAGGCCATCCTGCCCAAGGGCAGCGCTCGAGTCTCCACCACGGTGAGGCCCTGGCCTGTCTTTGCTCCTTCCTTTTTCTGTAATTTGTGGTGAAAATCACACAGCCCAGAATTAACCATTTTCAAGTGTACGATTGAGTGACATTCGTGCATTCACAGTGGTGTGCAACCATCACCATCATCTGGTAACGTTTTCATCACCCCAAAAGGAGGCCCTGTACCTATTTGCAGTCATTCCCCACCCCCTGCTCCCCCAGCCCCTGGCAACCACCAGTCTGCTTCCTGTGTCTATGGATTAATTTATTCTGGGCCCTCATATGAATAGAATCACATAGTATGTGGACTTTTGTGACTGCCTTCTTTCACCGAGCATAATGTTTTCCAGGTTCATCCACGTCATAGCAGGCATCAGAATTTCATTCTCTTATGGTTGAATAGTATTCCACTGTGTAGGTAGACCACATTTTATTTATTCGTCAGGTGATGGACTCTTGGGTTGTGTCCACCTTTTAGCTGTTGTGAATAGTGCTGCTGTGGACATTTGCGTACAAGCGTTTGTTGGAAGCATCTGTTTTCACTTCTTTTGTGTGCATACCTAGGAGTGGAATTTCTGGCTTAGATGGTAATTCTGTGTTTGTTTAACTTTTTGAGGAACTGCCAAACTTTTCCACGGTGGCTGAACCATTTTACATTCCCACCAACAGTGTACAAGAATTTCTAATTTCTCCATATCCTCAATGATGCTGTTTTCCATTTTTTAAATTGTTGTCATCGCCATCCTAGGGGGTGTGAAGTGGTGTCTCATTGTGATTTTAGACATTGTCTTTAATGTGAGGAATGGGTATATTGTACATCATGAGGAAAGGCTTTCCTGCTGTCTGGTAAGCGCTTTTTCCCTAACTATAAAAGTTGTTGGAAAAAAAATTACTGATCTTTCTTTTACCGTTTTCTGTGGATCGTTTTTGAGGCTTTCCAGTGGGTTTATCATATGACTGATTTGATTTCATTGTTCAGAAGGCCTTGTGAGAGCTCTTTACACAGGAAGTTCCTGTTTGGTGTGTATGTGATTGCAGGTGAAGTATAACACCCCGTCTCTGCTGTACGGGGCGCTCCGAGACTACCAGAAGATCGGGCTGGACTGGCTGGCCAAGCTCTACAGGAAGAGGCTCAATGGCATCCTGGCTGACGAGGCGGGGCTCGGCAAGACCGTGCAGGTGATCGCCTTCTTTGCGCATCTCGCCTGTAATGAAGGTGAGAGCTGTTGTATGTTGACTGTTCTGTATTTGCTAAGACTCACCTGTAGGCACATGTGTCTGACGTCTTTGCTCCTGTGCTGTGGTCCAGGGCTTAGGACATGCTTGCTGCATGAGCAAAGAAAGGCTAGTTCAGAGTTAACATTGGGTTAACTTGCTGTTACTCAGAAGCTGGCATAAATACACAAGCCCCACCAGGTGACCTGTGGCACCACACTGTCCTGGATGTGGACAGCAGAGCAGGCAGTGTCTCCATGTCCTTCCTCGGGTGGCGTGAATCAGTGCAGGTGAGCCCGGCTCGTGCCCGCTCCCCGTCTCAGTGCTGGGGCCCTGCTCACACCTGCCCCCTCCTGCCGGCTTCCCTTCCCTGGGGCTGTGTGCTCAGGTGGCCTGGAGGTGTGAGGCCGTGGGTGACCGTCTGGCCCCGCACCCCACTCCATCCCTGCACAAATTTGGTGCCCCTGGGGTTCTGCTTCACAACACAGCCAGAAAACTAGAAGAGTTTACCACTTTACCAAGAGTAGTATTTATTACTCAATGCAATTTTTATTTAGAAAATTCTGATAAACACACAAAATAAGAATTGCTTACAAAGCCATCACTTTATTTTTCTGCCATCCCCTCTTGTTACCACTTCTGACAGCAGTGCGCGTGCGTCCTCGAAGCCTTCTCCCAGACTTACAGACATCCTCATATACAAGGCTTGGGCACACGTGGGGTACTGAGCTCTGTTATTTTTCCATCCTGTGTTTCACTGAGACACAGGCACATCTGCTGGGTTTGATGGGCGTTCCTGCCAGTGACGTCACATCTGTTAAAGAGTTTATTGTCCGTTTGTGTTTTTCCTCTGAGTTTTCTGTTCATGTCCTATGTTCATTTTTCTTCTGGGTTCTTTTTAAGAATTTGTAGCAGTGCTTTGCATATTGGCAGTGATGGAGAGCTGAGTGAATTGCTGCAGCTGCTTCTCCCAAGTCTCCCCTTTCTGTGTTTTAACCTGTTTGGTTTGTTTATAGTACGGAAGTTGAAATTGGCTACGTGTGTATTAGTCTAATAATTTTAAAAAGTTCTTACTTTTTGGAAGAATGGAATTAAGAGTGGTTATTGGGATGGTCTGGGTGTGTTGATGGTACGTGCTTTGTCGGTGGTGAGCAGTGGAGACAGCTGTCTAGATCACGGGTGATTTTGGTGGTATGACAGTAATGACTGTTTTCTCCACCCCTAATATTGGCCGTGGTCGTGCGTCGGTTCACTGGGCACATACTGATTCGGCTTCTGAGGACCAGCACAGGCAAGCTGCCTGGACTCGACAGATTAGTATAGTTACGTTGGAGAATACCACATCCTTTTCCTTGCAGGTAATTGGGGCCCCCATCTTGTTGTTGTGAGAAGTTGTAACATACTCAAGTGGGAGCTCGAGCTGAAGCGTTGGTGCCCCGGGCTAAAGACCCTCCTGTATGTCGGCAGCCACAGAGAACTCAGAGCCAAGAGACAGGTACTTTGTAAAATGTTAAACTAAAAAGAAAGCCATCTTACTTGTTATGGAAGAGAGTTTCAAAACGACAAGACATGTCTGTTAATGTAGTTTCTAGAAGTTGCTTGTTTGTGAGATACCCTTCAAGCTTTTTCTGGATTCTAAGGTCCTGGATGCATAGACCACCTCTGATGAGGCATCATCACCCACAAGGAGGGCCACGCCAGCAGAGGGCCAGGTTACATGCAGGGCTCACTCACCTCCCAGGAGGCGGGGGACTCTCCTTCTGGAACTAGAACGTTCCCTGGAGGGCTGCTCTCCTCCTCCCCTGCAGGCCTGTTGGCGGCCCCCAGCCTCAGAGGAGATCTTGAGAGTCCACATCTTGGGTTACTGGAGCCTTACGCTGTCCTCCAGAGCCGTTAGACATGGTGTGGCTTCCAGGCAGCGCCGTTGGCTTCAATGGGCCTGGGAGCGGATGGCTGAGTCCGACTTCTCTTATGACATCATCTATGTAGAAATGTTTACTAGGAATAAAGTGAATGTATATTTATCAGACTCTTCATTGACAAAACTTGGCATCTCATTGGACTTCATTGTGTTGTATTTACTGAAAAAGTGAGTACCTTGGGACGTATTTTCTTTAGCACCTCTCGGTATTAGTTTGTTTTAAAAACATTTAGAGTGCAGTCAGTTGCAACATAGACATAATCACGTTTCCTATCATCCTGCAAGTACATTTGCCCCTTGCTTGGACTATATGGAGCCCTGGTGGCACAGTGGTTAAGAGCTCGGCTGCTAACCAAAAGGTGGGCAGTTTGAATCCATCAGCCACTCCTTGGAAACCCTGTGGTTCTGCTCTGTCCTCCAGGTTCACTATGAGTCAGAATTGACTCGACAGCAATGGATTTGGTTTTTGTTTGGTTTTGGATTATGTACTGTAGAAGTTAGTCCCACTTCAGGATACTCAGTGAGAATCTGTCTTCCAGATAACATTGTTAATGCCTCCAGAGCTACATGTCAGTTTGTCGACAAAAGTGCTTTAGACTCCTAGAGGAAAATATAATGCACTTGTAAACTCAGCCATTTTCTGCACAGTACTAAGCAAGTTATTAAGAAAAATGAATGAAATACTCTAGATGGGAACCAATTACTTCAGTGGTGAAAATTTTTAAAAGTATCCTCAAGTTTCTTTGTTCTGAAAAGTGAAGGAATAAGAAGTCTGTTGAAGACTTGTTCTCCACCTGCAGGAGTGGACAGAGCCCCACAGCTTCAATATCTGCATCACGTCCTACAAGCGGTTCTTCAAGGGCTACCACTCCTTTGCCAAGGTGCGGTGGAGGTGCCTGGTCATCGATGAGATGCAGCAGGTGAAGAACATGACCGACAGGCACTGGGGAGCCGTCTTCAATCTGCGCAGGTTTGCACGCCCCCCCCCAGGCCGCCCCCCAGAGGTCCACACTGTTGTCTCTTAGTGTTGTTGAGGTACAGGAGTTGGGTGAAGAGGTTTCAGGTTGTCTTCTAGCTGAAGACTCACTGCTCACCTTTGTTTGACCATGTAGGGCCGAGGAGACCCAAGAGTTGTTTTCACTTGGTCCATTTTCTCAGCTCCATTGAATCCTGTTTCCCCTTCCTTGAACATCTCCATAGACTAAGAGTTTGCAGCCAACTGTGTTGACGAACTTCAGAATTTCAGCAGTGTTTCTCTTGTCTCGTTTGTAGTCAGCAGCGCTTGCTTCTGATAGACGCACCTTTGCACAACACCTTCCTGGAGCTGTGGACCATGGTGCACTTCCTCATCCCAGGGATCTCCAGACCCTACCTGAACTTCCCTCTGAAAGCTCCCAATGACGAGAACCAGGACTACTACCACAAGGTGGTGATCCGGTTACATCGGGTACGTGGCTGGACGACCTCCGTCAGTTAAAGGCACACGTGACCCGCGTGGAGCGTAACACCAGCGTCTTTGGGAGAAAACAGTGGTGGTGCTGTGTTTCCAGGTGACCCAGCCGTTCATTTTGAGGAGAACTAAGAGAGATGTGGAGAAGCAGCTGACCAAGAAGTACGAGCACGTGTTGAAGTGCCGCCTCTCCAGCCGGCAGAAGGCCCTGTATGAGGACGTCATCCTCCAGCCTGGGTGCGTGTGCGGGCACAAGTGCACCTGGGGCGCGGGTGCCAGGGCTGCTCTACCTAGCTCTCTGTCGACGCTGTGGCTGTGGTGAGGGTGGCTCTCCATGAGGGCGCAGGAGGTGGGGGGCAGGGGCGATGATGGGATGCAGCAGGTGCCTCCGCTCCTTGTTCTGCACCATCCACCGTGTGCCCTCAGAGTCCCGTTGTGCATGGCAGTCAGCGGGGCAGTCTGGCACTGTGTCCCTGCACCCTTTATTCTCCAGGTCAGCCTCGCAGCGTTTCCAAGTGCAGGCCGCCTCAGAGGGCCTCTCTGATGCACCACCTCCCCCTCACGGCTCCCAGAGGCTGGGTCTCAGGCTGGCCATGTTTGAGGGCAGGCAGCCTGGTGCTGTGGGCAGTATGACTTCCCCAGCAGGGCCACTGGCCGGGTCTGCAGGCACCATCTCCCACTCTCCTCTTGCTGGGCCACTCCAGCCAGGCCTGAGCAGGGTGGCCCCCTTGGCCTTCCTGCGGCTCGTCAGCACCTGCTTCGGTGCTTTCCCTGAGGCCCTCTGTTCCTGAGTTTAAAGTTTTGCTTTCGGTGATCACACTTGCTGTGTTTACCATGTGGTGGTGCCAGCCGATGTCCCCACGAGCTCTCCCGAGCCTGCAGTGCTCCACAGTGGCCCCGGGTCCACAGTCTGGGATGGGCCGACTCTGCCTCGGCCCGCTAGGTCTCAGGTGGGAAGGAACCTGGTGACCCAGGGAAGCACTGCCTTACAAGCGATGTGGAGGCGACAGTGTGTTCGTGTGCTTTACACAGATGGAGCCCAGACCATGTATAACCCCTACCCTCCTGGGACGAGCCAGGGCCTGGGTGCTGTTGTGCCCCACTTCTCCCTGGAAGCTGGGGCCCCTGTGAGGACGACATGCTTCCACACAGGAAGTTCCCGGGACAGTGCCGTGCACGGACATTTTGGAGAAGGCTTTGCTGACGATGCCCGCGTGTTGTGCAGGCTCATCACGGGGAGTCATAGGGCAGGATGGACGTGTGTGAAGTGTGTGTCCCTGCCCACCCGCAGGCCCATCCCACCCCTCTGCAGCTGGCCCTGTTTGTCCCTCAGTCAGGAGCAGGGGCAGCCGACAACCTGAGGGCCCCACCGTGTCCTTCTTCCCAGTCACCGCAGACGCTCTGTGCGGTTCATCCTGCTTGGGTGCCAGCCAGAGTCCAGTGAGACGTTGGAACTGTCCTTGACCACTCTGGTGGCATATCAGTGTCAGTGTATGAGGAGGTCTCAGCCTGGAGGGCCTGCCTTACATAGAGCTAGGTCTGCAGCTGGTATGTGAGCTGGGCAGGCCCACGTCCTTTCCCTCCTTCCTGCTGCCCTGGCGTCACATCTCTGCAAAGGGCCGCCAGTGAACCAGCGAGCGGGTACGGCCCGCGTGGGAATCTGCGCTGACGCTGTGTTTCTGGAATTAGAAGACTAGGCCGTGAAGGGTCTGTATGGTAAAATACGTGTACAGATTAAAATCTTTCGTGTTTTCTCTTAAACGTGCAGCACTCAGGAGGCCCTGAAGAGCGGGCACTTTGTCAACGTCCTCAACATCCTCATGAAGCTGCAGCGGATCTGCAACCACCCGGGGCTCGTTGAGCCCCGGCTGCCAGCCTCGTCATACGTCGCTGGCTCTCTGGAGTACTGGTCCGCCTCTCTGGTTCTCAAGGCCTTAGAGAGAGACTTTTGGAAGGTAGGTTGAAAAGGTACATCACTGTTCGAGCGTTTCTCCAGGTCCGTCATAGGTGCAGCGTTTCTTGGAGATCGTTTCCCGACAAGGCCTTGTCCTGCGTTTTGAAATTGCCTGATCCTGGTCACTATGTAGCAGAATGTGTGGTGTGCCTGCCCCTAGGGTTAGAGACAGATCACCTTGAGGGTGTTGGAGGAGGTGTCCCAGACCGAGTAGTGCACGCAGTGCGTTTTGTTTAACCACTTTATTGAGATAGTTCACACACCGTACGCTTCAGTCTTTGAAAGCATTCACTGGTGTAGAGTCATCTCACAGAGTCGTGCAGCCATCCCGTCAGAATCCCCATACTTGGTCACAGTCCCTGTACCACCAGCCCCTGGCAAGCACCCGTCTGCTTTTCCTCTGTGCATTTGTCTGTTCCAGACATCTCCTGTAAATGGAGTCGTATAACGCGGTCTGTTTGTGACTGGCGTATTTCCCCCAGCGTGTTTTCAGCGTGTATCAGGACTTCGTTCCTTTTTGTAGCCTGAACAGTGTTCTGTTGTCTGGGTGGACCACATTCTGTTGTCAGTGGGTGAACATTTGGTGGTTTCTACCTTAGCTGTGATGAGTAGTGCTGCCGTGAACCACGTGTTCAGGTCCGTGTGTGGACGTGTTTTCAGTGCTCGGGCATACGTGCAGGAGTGGGATTGCCGGTCAGATGGTAGCTGGTGTCTGCCACTTTGAGGGGCTGCCAGCCTGTTTCTATGGCACACCGTTTGCTTTCCCACTCCCCGTGTATGGGGTCATCTGTCACTGACCTTCTTTTGGTTTTCTCTGTCCTTGCGGGTGTGTGCTGAGCCATCTGTCACAGTCTGGGTGGCGGTGGGCTCACCGTCCCGGCAGGTGTGTGCTGAGCCGTGTGTCACCGTCTGGGTGGCGGTGGGCTCACCGTCCCGGCGGGTGTGTGCTGAGCCGTGTGTCACCGTCTGGGTGGCGGTGGGCTCACCGTCCCGGCGGGTGTGTGCTGAGCCGTGTGTCACCGTCTGGGTGGCGGTGGGCTCACCGTCCCGGCGGGTGTGTGCTGAGCCGTGTGTCACCGTCTGGGTGGCGGTGGGCTCACCGTCCCGGCGGGTGTGTGCTGAGCCGTGTGTCACCGTCTGGGTGGTGGTGGGCTCACCGTCCTGGCGGGTGTGTGCTGAGCTGTGTGTCACCGTCTGGGTGGTGGTGGGCTCACTGTCCCGGCGGGGGTGTGCTGAGCCGTCTCTCATAGTCTGGGCATAGTCCCAGGAGAGGCGCAGGCATGTGGTGCTCGGAGCTGGCAGTGAGCTCCACTGGGTGCGTAGGCTGTGCGTCCTTCTCTCCCTCCCGGTGGCGGGTGTCCCCAGGGCCTGCTGAGCCCCTGGTGTTGGGATGAGCCCTGTGTTCCTGACTGCATCGTCCCTGCCCGGTGTGTCCATCTGTCACTGAGACGCCGAGGAGCTGTCGTCGTCCTGGAGTAAGCCGGGCATGGATCCCAGGTGCCCGCGACGTGCGCGCATCAGCCTCCATGCCCAGCGGCACGCTCGGCTTTCCCCAGCCTCCCTCCTCATTCTGTTGTTTAGCGTGCTCTTCAGGCTGGAATCTTCTAGACTCTTCCTCCGCCTTCTGCTAAACCATCTCCATTCCCACTGCCACTGGGGAGAGCCACATGCTGTTATTTCCCGTCTTAGAGATGGGGAAGCAGAAGCATCAGGAGCTGAGCCCCCTGCCCAGCCCTGCAGGACTTGTGCCAGCCGAGCTTACCATCAGGACTGGCTTGTGGTTCTTAGTCGTGCTCTTCTGACACCTCATTGTAGCAAGGATTTTGTTTGTCTTTTTTTCCTTAGGAAGCAGACCTTTCTGTATTTGATCTTATTGGGTTAGAGGATAACCTCACTCGCCACGAGGCAGAATTGCTGTCAAAGAAAAAGGTGACTCGGAAGCTCATTGAAGAGAGCTTCACCTCACCCCTGCCGTCAGCCAGGCCTGTTGCAGTAAAGCTGAAGCCGAGCAGGTAGGTGGCATGTCGAATCAGAAACGTAAGCTTTCTCTGTCTCCCACCCTGATCCTGTTGGGCTGCTTCTGTGCAAGGCCGCCCTCACCGCTCTTCCTGCCAACCTTGAGTCAGCTCAGGGCAGGCGGGGGCTCTGGTTCCCAAGGGCGGCGGAATGGGAGGCCCCTGACTGGAAGACAGCGGTATGGGCCCCCTGGGCAGTGGACCTCTCACGCATAGGAGGCCTGGGCTCTGTATGGGTTTCACATAAGGACCCGGAGCTGCAAGTGGTGTAAAGACGTTCACTGTGCTGGTTATCTGCTTCTGGAACTTCTCCTGACGGCCCTTGGTTACATGAGAGCTGCTACTTAGAGACAGTGTGCTCGGCACTCCTGCGCCTCCTCCAGCTGGCTGAGCAGCCATGTGTGCGCCCTTGCCAGGGGAGGATACCTCTTGATCAGGATGTCAGTGTCTTTAGCCAAGCCTTGGGGTTTGGGACGAGTGCACGTGAGGGGCCAGGGGTGTCCTGCATTCCTGGTTATCCCGCAGAGTGGGACCCAGCTTGGTGCCTGCGTGGCAGAGCTGTCTCAGACGACACCCGCATGACGGGCACAGAAGGGGAGCATGGGGCCCGACCACAGCTTTGCTGTGGTGCTTGTAAACCATCCGTGGTTTTGCGGGTACCACAGAGCTGGTGGGACAGAGCACGCAAGATGATGAAACCAGGACACAGATGAGTCAGGAGCGACCTGCTCCAGCGAGTCGGAAGCCAGCGGGGGGATATGTGGGACCCTATGCTCCGGTTAAGCCAAAGAGAGAAACGAAAAAGCGGGTGCTTTAGAGATGCCACATGAGAACGCATTCTCTGTGCGGCGTTGGGGTGGGGCGCAGGCTGGGGGGCAGTGTAAACCGCTTGTGCCCAGGAACCACTTTCCTGTATTATCGCTGGGGGAACGTGGGTCGCATGCACGTGCTTGGGGCAAGATTATAATCCTTTCCCCCTTCCTCATTTAGGCTGCGCTCCTGGTGCTGGTGCCCCTGGCCCACAGCTGCCCCGCGCTCTGTGAGGCTGGCCGCCTGTGCCCCAGCGTCTGATGACTCTGTGTGTCTCCCTGCCTGGCTCACGGGCATCTAGGTTGTTTCAGCCTGTGCAGTATGGCCAGAAGCCCGAGGGCCGCACTGTGGCCTTCCCCAGCACCCACCCACCCCGGACAGCGACACCCGCCACAGCCCCCGCCGCGCCTCAGGGCCAGGTCCGAGGACGGCCACCCATCGCCACCTTCTCTGCGAATCCAGATGCAAAAGGTACGCACGCATAGCCTGCTGGCTTGTGGGCCCAGCTGTCGGCAGGGCAAACTGCACTCTGGCCCGTCGTGTGGGCAGTGTGGGCGCCCTCCAGGCAGAAGGGGCCACAGGCATTCCCAGGTGGGGTGTAGATCCTTTGTCCTTAAACTGGATTTTTCTCCTGTACAAAAATGTTGCTTAGTTGGAGAGCTGCTTGTCTGGTGATGAAGTGGACGGTGACGAACGTTTTCTTTTGTGTGGGTAGGTGGATGTTAGGTGCGGGAACACTTCTGAAGGCGTGTTCTCGCTGGGCTTCGTGCCATCACTCGACTTAGCTCAGTTGTTACTTTTAACAGGGTTATCATTAAATGGCAGGAAAGGTAATAAAAATATTGTTAACTTCCAAACAAGTGGTTCTCAGTATTACTTCTTTCACGTTTCTCTAACATTGAAATAAATGTTCAGAGCTGCCTTGTTGCAAAATTCCCTGTAAAGATAAGAATGGGAGCTCCGTTGATGCTTGTGTGCGTGTGTTCAGGAGAGCGTTTCTAGTGGATGGTAACGCTTGATGGGGCATTCTCCAGTACTTTTTATTTGCTCTGAGAAACGTACTGTGTAGCGTACTGATTGGCTCTAAGCGAAAATAACTGACAAGGGTATAAAATTATTTTTCTTTCACCCCATGACGAATATTGGGCCTTTTCTTTTTAAGAGAGAGCTTCTCGCTAGAGAAACAGTATGAGGGAATGTTCTTTTTATTTCTTTGAAGTTCGGGTTTAAATATTGCATTTTGTTGAGAACCTCTAACAGCTTTGCGAAAACACGCCTTATCGATTGCAGCGGCGGCC